AATTGAATATTACCACTACAGTTTTCAGTTTAGTCAGTACTATTATAGCCAACTTTGTTGGATTTTTCTACCTGGATCATTGAGCATGAACTTTGATGTTTTGAACCACTTTGGCTATGGCTGCCTCAGAGGAGTCGACGGGGGAGAGGGCGGGTCCCAGAAACCATCTTATCACCAGCAAACTGGTTAGTCCACTATGGGAATGCGCTGCTTGTGGACTGAGTTTGTTTGCGGCTCCTCAAACTGATGAAGTCCTTTGGATGAAGGACGAAACGTCTCAACAACAAAAAAGAAACCGTCCTGATGACGTGACTCAACTTTGTTGGATTTTTCTACCTGGATTATTGAGCATGAACTTTGATGTTTTGAACCACTTGTGCTATGTGAGAGAAGAGTAAAGGAGGCCATCTTTGTGAAAATAAATCGTCCATCATTAAACAGGGGTGGAGGCCTCCGTGCTCAACTGTCCCCCTCTTACAATGCTGTGATTGCTAGTATCACTCAGCCCTTGTGAATAGTAAACAGCCATCAGTGTACTAATGATCCATCATTAGGCTGATGGTCCTTCTTGATCATGTGAGCAACTGGTTGTGGTTGTCAACAACAAACTGGTTGATCCACTATGAGAAGGTGCTATTTATAAGACTGGGCTGAACACAGCACCTCAGACTGAAGAAGTCTTTCAGATGAAAGACGAAACGTTGCTATATATATATATATATATATATATATTTTGTTGTTGTTGTTGTTGTTGTTGTTGTTGTTGTTGTTGTTTGTTTTGTTTTTTGAATGTCCAGAGGCCCAGACTTAACTTTTTTAGATTTTCCTACCTGGATTATTGAGTATGCATCAGGACACTTGGGCTATGGCTGCCTCAGAGCAGTCGATGCGGGAGAGAAACCATCTTATCACCAGCAAACTGGTTGGTCCACTATAGGAATGTGCTGCTTGTGGGACTTAGTTTGTTTGCGGCTCCTCAGACTGATGAAGTCCTTTGGATGAAGGATGAAACGTCTCATCGAGAAAAGAAACAGTCCAGATGACCTGATTGAACTTTGTTGGATCCTTGATTTCTCTCCTTACATATTAGTCCCTTCCGTCTCAGACAAGCACAGACGACAGAGACGACAGGAGACAAGGCAGCAGGAATTTTCATTTCAAAGCCATTCGTTCAAAATAAACACCTGACTCCGTTGCATCATACAAACAGTTACTTTGGTGCAGCCGATAGCTGTGTTTTATAATTTAAACTAATATTATATGTGTATTAAACATGTTTGTGATATATTTAGGCTTCTAATTGAGTTTAAAACATGACATGAATGTATAGCAAGTCCTCAGATGTAACAAATGCTTTAAAGATTTCTGCAAATACTCTCATTTCTCCTCACTCTGACCTCCTCCAGGTACGTTTTAGGGATTAAACCAACCTTCAGAATATTTTAATATCAGTATTTGGGTCAGAAGGATTAGAAGAAGAGAGGACATGAGCTGGTAAGTAAACCACATGTATAGTTTCATATCCTATGGATATGTGAGTAGGACTCTGATTATTCAATAAAAGTTATTCTAGTAGGTTGACTGGCAGACTTACTGTCCAGACTTAGAGCCAAACTGGTAGTGCAACTTTGTGTTTGATGTAATTATGATAAAATTATAAATCTGTTTGATCAGTTCTCCTTTGCTCGTTTTTAAAATAAAAATTGTCTTTGTATTTAGAGTTTTGAACATTTAGGTATCCCTCAAGGATTACTACTGGGGCTTTGTGTAATTTACAAGGCAGCTGAATTCAATTCTGTTCAATTTATTTATATAGCACTGTCACAACAGAAGTCATCTCAGGGCACTGAACAGGAACATTCATATATACAGACCCGTTCCAAATTTGAATATCATGGAAAAGTCGTTTAACTTCCATAATTCCATTCAAAAAGTTAATCTTTAATAGATGGTGGGTTCTGGGTCCACAATTTAAACAATTTCAAGTATTTATTTGTTTATTTTTACATAATTTGGGCTTCAGCTCATGAAACCCATGAAAACAGGATTTCAAAAAAATTAGAATACTGTGGAGAAATCAGCCCACACTACTTCAGTTTTTGCAGAAAAAAAAGAAGGAAATTAGGATCACAACAAATCAATCGAAATATGGAACTTTCAAAATGATATGTCAAACTTCAATACTTGGTTGAGAATCCCTTTGCTTTAATCACTGCCTCGATGTGACGTGTCATTGAGACAATCAGTCTGTGGCATTGACTGGGAGTTATGGAAGCCCAGATTTCCTTGATGCTTGCTGTCAGATCTTCTTTGTTGTTGGGTCTGGTGCAACTCATTTTCCTCTTGAGAACACTCCATAGATTCTCAATGGGGTTTAGGTACGACGAGTTGGCTGGCCAGTCGAGCACTGTGGCATGGGCATCAAACCATGTTTTGGTGTTTCTGGCAGCATGGATAGGGACCAGGTCCTGCTGGAAGATGAAATCTGCATCTCCATACAGATCCTCAACAGAAGGATGCATGAAGTCTTCTAAAACATTCTGGTAGACGGTTGCGGTGACCTTGGATTTAAGAAAGCAGAGTTTACCAACACCTGCACCGGACATTGCACCCCAAATCATGACTGACTGTGGATATTTCACACTGGACATCAAGCAGTATGGGTTCTGTTCCTCACCCTTCTTCCTCCAAACCCTTGGACCTTAATTTCTGAATGAAAGGCACACTTTACTTTCATCAGAAAAAAGGACAGAGGAACCCGATAGTTGTAGCCCATCTCCCGGATGCATCTGAATGTGGTGGTTTTTGAAGCTGTGACTCCCGCTTCATTCCACTCTTTCTGGATCTCTGCCAGATTCTGAAATCTTCTCTGTTTGATAATCTGCTGAAGCCCACAGTCATCTCTTTTGCTGGTGCATCTTCTCCTGCCACATTTTGCTCTTCCACTAGACTTTCCATTGCTATGCTTGGACACAGCACTCTGTGAACAGCCAGCCTCCTTAGCTATGAACTTTTGTGGCTTACCCATCCTATGGAGGGCATCAATGATGGTCTTCTGGCCAGTTGTTTTGTCTGCAGTCTTCCCCATATTGAACCAAACTGATGCAATTTAATGACACCTGGGGAAACCTGTGCAGGTGCTTTGAGTTTAGTAGATGATTAGTGTGTCACACTCAGTTTAAAACATTCATGCCCTGCAAAATTTGGGCTGATTCTCCACAGTATTCTATTTTTTTTTTAATCCTTTTGTCATGAGTTTCATGAGCTGGAAGCCCAAATTATGTAAAAATAAACAAATAATACTTGAAATCATTTAAATTGTGGGCCCTGAATCTATCACCTATTAAAAAGCAACTTTTTGAATGGAATTATGGAAGTTATCAACTTTTCCATGATATTGTAATTTTTTTGGAAAGTGTCTGTATATAAAAGTAAGTTAATAACATTATTTATCTGAGGAGCAGACTACTTTGAGTTTAACGCCATTGCAGACTCTCATCTTGAGCAAGCTCAAAGGAACAGTGGAAAGGAAAAACTCCCTCATGAGGAAGAAACCTTTAGCAGAACCAGACTCAGGACAAGCAGCCATCTGCTTCAACCGGCTGGGTTTGAGAGGAACAGGAAGGAGGAACAGCTACACAATGGCAGGTTGAGAATCACAAGTCTCTAAGTCTATAGCAGTATACCAAGCCAACCCTAACTATAGGATTTATCAAAAAGGAAAGTCTTAAGCCCAGTCTTACAACTGGACAATGTGTCAGCCTCACAGACAGAAACTGGAAGTTGGTTCCACAAGAGAGGAGCCTGATAACTGAAATATCTTCCTCCCATTCTGCACTTGGAAACTCTAGTAACCACAAGTAAGCCTCATTCAACCTTTATTTATACAGGTGAATCTCATTGAGCCTTGGGAACTCATTTACAAGAGACCCTTGAGCCTGCAGTCTGAGAGTGAAGTGCTCTGTTAGGAAAATGTGGCACAATAAGATCTGTAATATAAGATGGAGCTAGGTTGTTGAGGGCTTTGTAAGTTATAAGTACAGTTTTGAAATCTGTTGCTTTTGCTCTGAAACTCCTAAAAGGCCACACTGTTTTTCAATGTTGCTCAAAAGTTTTTAAAATCTCTGGACTCTAAAATGTTTTATATTCACGTATAAATATCTGCCTAAACACAAATGTAAAGTAAGAGAAACTAAAACAAACAAAAAAGCAATAAGTATGGCTACTGTGTCTAAACCTTTCACCTTTTATTATTTCTGGAAATTTCTTAGTGTTCACACACAACTCTGGTAGCATCCATAGTAACTTGAAGTAACTTTAATCCAGGTTCCTTTAGCTCTGTTACGTTTGTCGGTCTCACTCCATGAGCTTTTGCTCCATTAGTTTCTTTTCACTGTCCTGAAACTTTGGGCTTGTTTTCCCAAATTTCAGACAGTTAGCAATGGCCAAACAGCAAATTTCCACCTTCATCCATGCTATATTGCACATCAAAGTTGTTCAGGGTTTATTGATAGCAAACTATTTCAGTTTCTGAGTAGTTGCCTTGAAGTTCTTTGACCTCATAGACACTCAAAGATGTTTATCTTGGTGAGTTTTGTGTTTGTCAACCACTCCTGGGAAGGGTCCCAAAAGCTCTTACTGGTTTGTGCACTACACGAAGGTTTTACCGCATTCAAAGTTACAGATGGGTTTTTGCATAACGACTCCTTTGTGGGTTGTAATTTATATTTATTTTGTAGAGGTCTATGATATTTCCAAAGTAAGTACATATGATAAAGGTTGAAATATAGTAATGTTATGGGTTTAAATCATTAATAAATCATAAATCATTCAGGACTAAGCATGTTGCATTTATTGTGTACCTTTGGGTGTTCATTCAGCTTTTTCATTGGTTTCCCACAGCAAATAGTTGATCAAGAACATTCGAACTACCGTAATTCACATAAGTGGACCTTAAGCGTTACGTTTTACCAGACGAACAGACAAACAGGATGTCATACCTCAGTGCCCATGTCTCCAGCTTGGTAATAGTCCATATAGTCTTGTCCTGAGCACAAACTGCAGATATTAAGCATCCATAGGAGCACAGCTGGTATCCACATAGTGAGGGGATGGAGACGGTGGAGTGGAAATATCAGGCCAGGATTGAAAGGAAGTCTGTGAAATCAGAGCTTGACGTGAAGACAAGGAGGTGCAGAGGAAGGAAGGAGCAGGAAGGTTATCACAGATTGGACCGCTTCTTCATTTTACCCTGGAACAAAGTTGCTCTTCCGACGCAGGTTGTTAGAATCGGGGACATGACCTGAATAGATCATGGTGAGGAAATCTGCACCTTTTCTTCGAGTCGAGCACGACTCCTCTTCTTCTCAGAGGAGTGTTGCGTCCTTGTCTTGCCGCTCCTCCATTCTTGCTAATTTGATGTCAGGTGTCTCTGTTTGGATTTAGGCTTCACTTTGTGTTGTATTTCTGCGGCCTTCAACTCGGCTGATCCCTACAAGGGTTTACTTTCCTCTCCAGCCTTGGTTGTCTTCGTCACTCTCCAATCCTCGTCCTTCGCACCCGTTCACCTCCCTGCTTTCTTTATCTTTGTCTCGCACACAACAGCTGTGCAGATGATTGCTGCCCTTTTTATTTGCCTCCTGTTCCTTTTTTTTTTCTGGGCAAAGCCCTCTTTTCTCTTCGGTTGCTCCTTTTTCTGCAGCTTTCTAGGTTTTGTCACAACTTTTCTACCAAGGCTGTCTGTTCCTTGAAAGAATATTTCCAATCCCGTTTCCAGGCTGAGCTTTTACAAGAAGTTCTTGTCCAAACAGAGTGAGTGTTCGTCCTGCTCACGGGCGTCTCGCTGGAGTGAATGAAGGGGGGGGAAAAAAAATACAAGAATGAAAGGCTTGTAACTTGTGGGCGGAGTGAAAGATCTGAGAGAGACAGCTCGTGTTTTTCAGCTGATAGACTATAGCTCCTTATTTATTTGATTTCCTCTGCAAGTGAAGTGGCTGCTAAGCCGTGCAACTTCTGGACGCTGGCACACTTTTCTTTCAACATGTCCTCTTTTTTTTTTTAGAGGATTTAAATGTATCCAGAAGCTTCACTCCGAGAAAAAAAAGCTAATCTGTCACTTAGAAAAATGCGTTGCATATTGTCTTTCATAGGCGTCTTATCAGTCTCAGTATGTGTGTTTTGATAAATGTAGTGGCGGCAACTTTAGTTGCATGTTTTTCTTGTTGGACAATAATGATTGCTCTCACACCTGCAACTCTGACACTTTTTCTGCCTTTTTCCACACTTCATCTGGCTCCATCTTTGTTTGTTTTTTCCCTTCCCCCCTCTCACTTTCTCTTATGCGCTTTCTTCTTTTTGTTCATTCAAAGTCCTAAAAAAAGACGTACTTTGCATACCTTCTTAACTATTCCGCCCCAAGGCTGTGAGCATTTGTGCCGGTGTATTACAGGGGAGGAGGAGGGGAGGAGCAGCAGAAGGAGCTTACATCTTTGTCTAAATTACATATATATATATATATTAAAAAAAAATTAAAAAATAAATAAAAATCCTCCCAGGGCTAAGCAGTTACCAGCAAATGTAAAATAAATTATGGGGCACAGACAGACGGGCAAGAGAAAAAGAGGCAGAGCGGAGAATGGAGGCTGACAATGAGGAGGAGGCAAAGGAAGGGAGGTGTGTCTGGGAAACACTTGAATGAGAAAACATCCGATTGCTGGGCCAGTCACACAGCAGCCTTTTCAAGGATTAAAGACACACACAGGCACGCACGCACGTACGGTGGCAAGTGTCTGCTTGCTGCATGCTTTATGTTGAAATCCGCTCAAGCACATTCCACTCATTGCTTCCTCCATTTCATTATATAAACTCAGAGTACGGAGTTCATGACAACAAGAAAGCGACTGTATCTGTATTAGGATTATTTATGAGGATTAGATTAAGAATTTATTTGATGCTTTGAGAGTGTATTACCTCCACAAGACAACATAGCAAATAAAAAATAAGCACTGAACACTTTATGATTTCAGCTTTTAGTTAACTTTTACTGATGGAAATAAAAGGCCTATAGCGTTCGTTGAAGCAAGTGCCCGCCACTTTTCATATCATCTTATATTGAGAAATAACTTTTTTTTTTTTTTTTTTTTCATTTAGCCTTTATTTATCCAGGTTAGTCTCATTGAGCCACGAGAACTCATTTTCAAGAGAGACCTGTTTAGGGAGCACATGGTGGGGGTTAAGGGCCTTGCTCATGGGCCCAGAGTGGGGCGAATGAGGGTGGGGGCAAGTGTGGGTGTTTCACCTACCCCACCCACAATTTTGATGTTGTCGGGGCCGGGGCGTGAACCGGCGATCTTCGGATCACAAGCCCACCTCTCTAACCTCTGCGCCACCACTCCCCCACTTTTAACTGTTTGAGTTGTGCTGTTTAGGTCAAAACTAGAGAATAACATTATCCCATACCCAACATTGTTCAGTCAGGTCATCTGGATGGTTTCTTTTTTTTTGTTTTTGTTGAGACGTTTCAAAAGACTTCATCAGTCTGAGGAGCTACAAACAAACTCAGTCCCACTAGCAGCACACTCCCATATTGGACTAACCAGTTTGCTGGTTGTAAGATGGTTTCTGGGGCCCACACTCTTCCCCCGTCAACTCCTCTGAGGCCGCCATAGCCAAAAGTGGTTCAAAACATCAAAGTTCATGCTCAATAATCCAGGTAAAAAAATTGAACAAGGTTAAATCAGGTCATTTGGACAGTTTTTTTTTTTTTTTTTTT